ACAAACAGAGATAGAATCGATTATGTTTTCTCCATTCAAGGACAAATCTATCACAAAATGGGATCATTACTAGCATTACCCTATGAGGACTATAAATTTCTGCAAGTATATTTTATCGGAAAAGAAGAAAGAGAAATTGATCAATGATGCACAAACTTCAGTGGATTGAGACGAGAAATAATCCAAAATGTACAGAGAATCTTACACAATCAACTTATTCACATATTCAAAACCACACTAGATTGAATGATCTCTGATTACTATAAAGTTATAATTCGAGCCGACAAGAAACTACCTGGAGAACATGAATGTCGATTTAATGCACCTCAGATAGACAATGTCGCCATCGTAATTGTGGACAATGAAAACACAAGCCAGGACATAACTGTACAACGAAGAAGAGAAGGACTACAATGCATTGCAGAGACACACCGTTCATATGAAGCCCTCCAATATCCATTAATATTTCTACATGGAGAAAAACGGGTACCATTTTGATGTGAAACAAATCCAAGCTGAAACAGGCATAGAAACAAACAAAAAAGTCACTTCCAAAGAGTTCTATGCTTATTGTTTAATGACCACAGACAATGAAACATACAATTATGTTCTCAACACTTGCCATTTAGTCCAACAATTCCTGGTAGATATATATGCAAAGATAGAAGTGGAAATGATGCTTTACAAAAGACTGAATCAGAAGAAACTATGCACGGAAAAATGCATCCACTTTCAAGACATGATCATAAATGATGGGAACATTAAATACAATGAAATCTTACCCTCATCTTATATAGGAAGTCCGAGACGCATGTACGAATACACTCAAGATGCCATGACCTACGTAAGAAAATGTGGACAACCTGAGTTCTTCGTAACATTCACATGCAACTCATCGTGGCCAGAATTCAAAGAACACCTAAGATACAGATAAGCCCCCATGGATTGACACGACATAATAGCCTGAGTTTTCCGACAAAAACAAATGAGATTTATTGAAGTCATCACAAAATACTACATCTTTGGAACCATCAGACGGTGGATGTATGTAACTGAATGGCAAAAACGAGGACTGCTTCACTCACACAATCTCATATGACTACATGACAGGATTCATCTCACGAATATCAGCAAAATCATCCAAGCTGAATTTCCCAATCCACAAGAAGATATAGAATTCTACAACACAGTTGTGAAAAACACGATTCCGGACCATGCAGGCCCTTAAACCCCAATTCGCCATGTATGAGCAATGGATAATGTACAAAAAATACCCAAAATCATACCTAGATGACATACAACTGAAGATGATGGCTATCCCAAATACGGTGGTAATAAGACAATCACCCAGTGGTAATAGGACGATCACTCCAAAAGAGTGGCTTCACAGTTAAAATACAAATACAAAGTAGAGACGAACTGGAACTAGATAATCAGTGGGTAGTACTATATAACCCACTAGTTTCCAAAATGTCCCAAGCACGCATTCACGTAGAATACTGCAATTCAGTGAAATTCATTAAATATGTCTGTAAGTATATGAACAAAGACAGTGACATATCAATTTTCCAAATAGCCCAAAACAGCAAACAACAAAACAGAAACGATGACAACCTCATGTACAAAATGGGAAGATACATCAACTGAAATGAAGCAGCATGGCAGATTTTCAGTTTTCCCATACACGAACACGAACCAACCGTGCAACATCTAGCTGTACATTTGGAGAATGGCAAGAGAGTTTACTTCACAAAAGACACAGCCAGAAAAACTGCAAGCAAACCACCTAAGAACACAACATTAACATCTTCTTTTCCAATTATGCCAAATGGATCCATTCAGAAAAACATTACTATACGTGGAACACAACAAGAAAAATCTTTCTATGATGAAAACAAGGAATTCCAGTAGAAGATCATCCAGGAATCATCAAATTAACACACTAGGCTGAGTATACATCATATATCCGAATAACACCAAATGTTTCTATTTCCGGATATTGCTATACAAAATACGGGGAGGGAGAAGGGCCAACAAGTTTCACAGATCTCAAGACTGTTGATGGTTACCTATGCTAGTACACAGAAGCAAGGCCAATACTTAGGACTACTTGAAAACAATAGCCACTGGAAATTAACACTACATTAAGCCTCATTCCCAGCCATAGATGAACAACGCAAGAAACTTATTCGCCATAATTCTAACAACATGTAATTCGTCGAATCCAAAACAGTTATGGGATTCCTTCAAAGAGAGTATGAGTGATGACATACTGTACCAAAACAGACATTCAGAACTGGCTATTGAATTCAATGATGACATCTTCAATTAAACACTCATTTGCCTAGAAGATAAATGTTTATCAATACAAAAAAAAATTCCTTAGTACAACTTGAGATGCCAGCACCACAACAAGATGCTTTGAGTGCACTAAACTTTGAAATTACAAAGGAAAAAAGCTACAACTACTTCAATACATTAAAGAACTACTTCAATACATTGCTCACAACAAGCCACTCCTCAATGAAAATTTTAAAAAATTTACAACATTATCATGGACTGGATCAACAACAACACTGGCGGAATTATTTACTTGGACGCATCAGGCGGCTCTGCAAAAACATTTCTAAGAAATCTGTTGCTGGCAGAAATACATGCTAAACAACACATCATACTTGCACTGGCATCATCCGGCACTGGCAGAATCCATGCCACATAGCCAGAATAACGAGATGGAGGACGAAAAGCCTGAGTGTTAACAGAAAGTAGCCAAGCTTCTACCACTGGATTTTGAAAGGATTTTAAAATAAGCACAGTATACATTTTTTGAGACTGAAAATAAACCTTCAGTGGTAAAAACGTTTGGAGTACCCTTTCAATGGTGGGAAGTAATGCTAACTATCTTGTTTCTGAATGTGCTAGTATCCCTAAAAAATTGATTTCTACGAAATTGCAGAAATTTTTCAATGTTTCTACTCTAAGAGATAAAGTATATCTCAGAAAGAATCATTTCTATATCAACTGGCAAAATACCAGCTGATGCTCTTATAGTGTTATAGATAATATGCGCTGCACACCCAACTCCAATTAAACCATTGTTAAGGTTTCGTTTCAGTTTAACAAAAACATTACTTTCTCCACGTCTATCAGCTTCCCAAAGTTAGAATTCATATTATCAGCATAAAGGCCAATAACTTCTCTTATTTTCTTCAAGACAGGTAGTTAAATAGTTGCTGACAATATTGAATGTTTCACCAGGTACGGATTTAAATTATAAAACTTTTACTATAACTCCATAACTCGAGTCTATAAATATAATAAGTATTGGAAAAAGTTTTTAATTTCTTTGTGACTGGACACATCAGTTAAGACTGAAACAAATTAACATTTTCCAAATCATTATGCAGCTCTTAAAGCGTAAGACATGAAAACAATTAGTATTATTGCTTCGGCCTTGATTTGCACACATGTAAATTTAGGTTCAAATGCCACTTGAAGAAACTTAAACATACATACCAAAGACCTAAAGGTACGGTTGTGCAAATAGTATGGTATGCAGAAGTATTTTCTACTGCAGCTAATTCTACTTCCTTATCACCCATTTTCTCCTGTTTGAAGAAATTCATTAATGATGAGCTAGATGCAACAGCAGAGCTTATGTTTATTACTATTTATTTGAAGTTTAATATCTATATGTCCACCATGGCTTATTGAAAATTTTGAAGAACATGCATTGCACTGTACATTTGAATTGCTACTAGTTTCTGCAATAAACAGGAATTCCTTCTGTACGTCCTTGTTAAATGTACACTTTCTTTTTCTTTTAAATATACACTTTCTTTTAAAAAAATCAATGATAAAAATAAATAATAAATTAAACTGCAGTAAAACATACCCTTAGGACATATGTAATGCACTACTGATAAATAAAAAAAATATATGTCGTTTCCAAATGGGAAACATCATTACATGTCATTGTTTCGGTAGATTTAAAAAAAATTAACTATTATGGAAAATCAAAATGACGTTGCAGTAACAATTCTACAATCTAAACATGACAAAATAAAGATGATTTCAGATGGATATATCTACAAAGAAATTTCAGCAAATGAAAAGAATTATTATTTTTAGATACCGTGTAATAATGTGTAAGAGGATGATACATACTAGTGAACGTAATGCACCGTTGATAATTAAAAAAGTATATGTATATTTTAGAAATTCAAATCAATCAATGTATTAATTAAAAATTGCATTGCTGTCTGTAAATGGAAGTCTGAAGTGCACCAGTGAGCAAAAATTCTGTGTGTAATCGGGATAGAAATACACAAATGAAAAATAGAACTCCCCCCACTACAATGTTTCTAAGATAAACACCAGATTGTAAATCCCACTTATGCAGCCGATATAGCACTCATCTCTTAACAGTATTCCACAGCTTGCAATTTACATTATTTAAATAAATATATGCATTTAAACTTTTACTTTCTCACATTACTTTTTTTCGGGACAGTTCAGGACAAAAGCTATGAATTCGAGACAGAAAAACAAGTTGTAAAAAATTGGGACAGGGACTGAAAATTCAGAAGTTTCCCGGGAAATTCAGGATATATGGTCAGCTTAGTTTTGAGTACTGTCTACAGTTTAGCTTCGCTCTTTAGCTGCACTTTGTATTGCATTGTGTTTAACATTCTTAGTAGTTTGAAATATCACTACTCGGTGTACTCAGTGATACTCTAAAGATTTATTGAAGAATATCTGTGGAAAGTTCCAAAACTCTGAAGTATTTCTTTTAATAAACTAAATTTCATTCAAAACAACAATATTGAAACAAATTACCAAACTAAAATAATTTATTCTATATCTGCAAAAATAACATCTTATAACATGTTTTGCAGACTTATAATACACTACTTTCAAGCTTTATAAACTTAACTAAGGGCTTTTTTTTTTTTTTTTTTTTTTTTTTTTTTTGTCCCAGAGTTTAAAACTTTACATACCAATCTTGTCCAATTCTACTGCAAAAAATTCTTTTCCAAGCGATTTAAATAATTCCTTCACCTAAAGAGAATAAATATTTGAAATAAGCTTTTATAGGATATATATTTTTAAAGATTATGCCATATATATATATAATTAAACTCAATAAGAATTTATGGTGCTTTCGCATTAATGACACCATCCAAAATATCTGATGTAGACTCCTTTGTAGAGCCTATTACATTATACACATTTTTTATGCACTTCATTTAAACTTATTTCTGTCAATTTCATTAGAAATATAGTTTTCATTCAATCAATTCAGTTTTCCTATCGAGGCAAGGCAAAAATGTATAAAAACTCAAAACGTCTCCATTAAATATTGTAAAATATAGAAAAAAAACTAAATACAATTTTAAAAAAAATTTTTTACAATTAAAATTAGAACTTCCATGACAAAACAAGCAATTTGACAATGGGCAGGAAGACTTAACTGAGAGTTAACTTTTGGTCCCACTGGGTAAAAAGATACTGATGCTGGTGCATAAAGTGACTTAATTCACTATTCCACAATGGGTTTCAAAATATTAACATATTGTGGCCTGACTGGGCTTAGCACCATTAAAATTTTTAAACTGTTGATAATTCTACAACTACTGAACACAAATTAAAAGTCATAAAAACCTTAACCGTGTAAGGATCCTAAGTTTTACTAACGTTTATTTTATTTTGAAACTGTACTATCACTTCTTTTCTACTTCCGGCCAGAATTAAATGCTTTAACTTGTTTATGCAAATTGTCTTGCTAACACCCAAGTACTTAAGTTGTGGCTTTATGCCAAGAGAGAGAGAGAGAGAAGGAGTTTTAGGAAGCAAGCCGCTTGCCACAATAGTTTTACGAGTTTTCACTCGGTTGCTGGTTGCCTTTAAGGCTAGAGGTTTAGCCCTCTTGATATTTGCAAACGTATTGTAGTTTCAGCAGCTCGGCGTACTACATACGTACCCCCTTTTAAATAAATGCCAGTCTTAGAGATAGGCATTTGTATACTAATTCAAGGTTAGCTTTTAGTTAGTAGTTTTATATTCTTACATTCAGAACACAAGTGGTTGGCCTCCGTATTCCGAAGTTCGGAAGTACTTGTAAAGTATAGAAAATAAAGGGTTTCGTATACCCTTCCTGCTTGTGTTGTCTACTTCACACCTTCTTGAACATAGCTTGAGTAAGCTCCTTGTTCCTATTCAGGATCATTCATGTTTCTCCAAAGCAAATCAAGAGAAACACAAGTCCTAACAGTGACGCCCGAAGAAGAAGAATAACCATGGCTGAGTTTCAAGAACCTGAGGTGCCTGCAGAAGCAGCTCCGAATCCAGAAATGCCAGCTACCACCCTGGAAGGATTTGGTTACATCGTCCAGACCATGCGCGCATCGATGAAACCAGCAGTAAGCTTTGACGGAAGCTCACCGGTGACTAGTTTTTTGGAAAAATTGAATGACCACTTCATGCTATATCCAGTCCATGAGTTTCTGAAAGTCACCTTAGCCTACCAGTGCCCTTTGAGGCGGCTAAGCGCTTAACTTGGTTCAAATACATAGAAAGAAACCTCTTGGGTTAAGTGGGAAGTCCCACCTATACTTACGAAAATTTCAAGACCGCCTTAGTAAAAGCCATTCCTGTCGTAAGAAATCGTGCCAAATTGGAGGCCGGAACTCTTCAGCACCATACCAGCAACGAATCGAAAATCTCTCCAAGCTTTATTTTAAGAAAAATACACGTCTTTAAACTTTTGTAGGGAAGCCGGCCGTATTCCTGAAATAATCCAAGTAATTTTGCCTAGGTTACTTCTCCAAAGTACAGACTTTATTGAATCTAAGGAATCCGACGACATTGGAAAAGTTATTTGAGCTCGCAATCCAGTTTGAAAGTAGAAGAACGGCGGACATTGAAAGAAGACGCCAGCACGAGCAACGAAGCCAGTTTGGTGCTCCAAGACCACAGCAAAGGCAAGAGCACGGCTACGGAAGCAAGTCGAATCAGTGGTCAAAGAAACCTGAGTATCCAAAAACAACCGGCAAACGTCGACAGTTCAATAATAAGCCAGAAAAAAAGTTCGAAGGCCAGCAGAAAAAGAAGGAAGGCATGGAAAAGAAGAAAGGAGATTTAAACTAAACAGATTTCTGTGCTGGACGGGAGGAGGGTGCGAAAATCCGAAGGCCAAGAAAATCCCTCTTCCTTCAAGCTAAATACAGTTATTGTGAAAAATTTGATTATTCCAAAGAATGAAGTTTTGGTGAACAATATTCCAGCCACCACACTCTTGGATACAGGCGCGCAGTGTTCCTGTGTGGCAGAAGATTTTTTTCAGAAATACTTCCGTAAATATAGAATATATAATTCGGATCATACGACAGTGTTAGCTGCCCAGAGGGAAAGATGCAAATGCATAGGTAAAATACCACTCTATCCGTATTAAGGACGAGCAGGTAAAAATGATGTTTTTTATCGTAAAAAAATCTACAAATCTAATATGTAATTTAAATATGTAATCTAAATATGTAATTTTAGGGATAGATTTTCTTTCAGAGACCGAAGCAAAGCTTGATTTTAACTACGCGTCCCTTAAGCTGACCATGAAACCAGTTCTCGAAGAAAAAAAGAGAACCATTCACGTTAAATTTCAACCACCTGCCTATGGGAGAGCAACAAAAAATTCACCAAGTGGTAAGTGAATTTGCTTCTTTATTTAGTGATATTCCCGGATTTACTCAAGTGACGAACCATGAAATCGACACAGGAGATTCACTGCCAGTTCGCCACAAGCCGTATCGATACGATAAGACTAATAAAAGAAAAAATTATAGAGTGGCACATTCGGAGATATGTTAAGTAAAAAGATCATAACGCCCATCTCAAGTAGTTATGCCAGCCCGGTTGTGTTATGTAAGAAAAAATAATGATTATCCAGTTAACACATCCAAAACGGTGGCGTTTCGCAATTGACTATCGTAAATTAAACTCCATTACTAAATATCCAGGTATATCCGTTACCTATTATTGAAGAAATTTTTAAGGAAACATAACTTCTACGAAAATATATGACTACGTTAGATATAACGATGGGGTATTTTCAAATAGGTGTAAAACCAGAAGATGTGCCTATGACTGCTTTTATAACTAAGGCTGGCACTTATGCATTCTTGAGTATGCCGTTTGGCCTTTCAGGGGCATCGGCAACATTTCAGCGATGTATGGACATTGTGCTAAGGCCTTTTCTAGGAAAGAACACATTTATATATTTAGACGATATCATTATTACTAGTGATAATTTGGATCAACATATAAAAGATCCGAGAGAGGGTTTTCATTATTAAATGAGTCCGGTCTAAAAGTTAATGTTGAAAAGTGTAAATTTGCAGCCACTGAATTAAAATACTTGGGATATAAAATATCTCAGAAAGGAATCGAGACAGACAAATCAAAAATAATCGCCATTCAAAATTATCCGCCGCCAAATACGGCGAAGAAGCTGTCTTCTTTTCTCGGACTTTGTTCATATTATAGATCCTTTATAAAAGACTTTGTAACCATTGCTAAACCATTGTTAAAATTAAAAAGGAAAAAGGCAAGATTCTCGTGGGCGGCCCAAGCCAATAGTGCGTTTGAAAAATTAAAACAAGTGTTAACGCAAGCCCCTGTTTTGAAATTTCCTGAGAACGATGAAAATTTAGAAATTTCAGCGGATGCTTCGGATTATGCGGTAAGAGCAGTACTTTCCCAAAATCAGCAGCCCGTGGCATTTTTTAGTAGAACTTTAAACAGGGTTGCCACTCAAATAGAAAAATGAAATTCCCTGACTTTTCCAGGTGTGTTTTAAGAAAATTTCAGTCGATCTGCATAATGCACATTGGCTGTACTAAGAGATAAATTAATTATGGTACCACTTGAAAACACACAAATTTGCCAATTACATATGACTTATATATATATCACATATGACTTATAATATATAATCCCCAAAGCATTACTATTATACCTATAATAGGAATTGTTTTCTCCATTGAAGATTCAGATTAGAATCTGCCCAATCTGGATTAAAAAATGTCTTTTTTTTTGCAGACATTTTTCAGCTAAACGAAAGAAAAATCTATTTAATGATATTTTTAAATAAATTCAGGTATTTTATCAGGGGTGTTTGTGGGACCCCAAAAAATCCCCTGAAACTTTTATGAACTACTACTGACATTTTGAAGTTTCGAGAAGGGGGGGGAGAGAAATGAAAAATTACAATTATGAAGTATTGAATGACCTAATTATAAAAGTTCAATGAATTACTTTTTTTTGCAAAATTAATAACCATAAATTTTCAAACATATAAACTACTACATTTTATGTAAATATTTTAAATTACCTGAATTAATTCTTTAAAAAAAAAAATTATCTAATTTCTGCTGCTTTTTTTTATTTTCTGATGTTTGTGGGCTTGTCTTTCTTTTGTGGTGAACTTCATAATTGCAGGAAGGTTAACTTTTATTTTCCTCATTTACAGTTGAAGAAATTTCCTCGAGAGCTGCAAATGCAGAGGTAGAAGCAGTTTGCTTTTCTGCTAATGTAGAAGCTTTTTCAGAGACTTTTATAGGTGACTCATCTGAAATATATGTTTTTAAGTCCTCTTGATATGTTTTCCAACTACTGTTCATATTCAGTAAGAGATCTTTGTGAATTGGATCAGTCATTGGATTTTTTGAGCCATATTTTTCACATGAGGTTTCTTTAGAAGCCATTAAATCATATTTAATAGTCTGCACTGCATCTAGGGAATCAATCTTAAGAGAGGTTCTATAGTCAGTGATAAGTGTATCCATTAAGTTGAGTGCACTTTCCACTAATGGGCCATGGAAGCAGCTAAGGCAGGCTTTGACCAATTTAGCCAATGTAGGATACTTATAATCATTTGTGAAATCATCTTTTAAATTAAAAACTTTAGACCAATATTTATCAATTGTACACTTGACTTGATTTCCACTTTCATCAGATGTGTAGAGCATTTCTTTGGTGATATCAATATCCCTCTGGTATAACCT